GAGTCAGGCCAGTCTGTGAACCAGGGAGACAAGAAACTGCAGATTCTAATTATTTTTCCATAAACTGTGCCTGAGCTGATTCCCCTAGATGGTGATTTAGGGGACAGAGAAAGCTGTCTGTCAGTCTGGGACCAGAACAGCAAACCAAGGGTCAGGGTTACCTTCAGAGCAAGAGGGTGCTTAGTCATTGCCCGCTTAGTGACTACACATATTATTTGGTTTGAATTGGGTTTGCAGGGGTTGAAGGTCATTCTTTGTCCCCTGTGCTTCTCGGAGGCTACCTGCAAGCGGCAGCACACTTCTGTCATGCCCGTAGTGACAGGCAGGGGTGAGGCACGCCCCTGTGCCTACCGATCTTCAAGAGCTGTGAAGTGCTGTACAAGACCCCTTCTTTCCTTCAACCCAATGGTCAGCTGGTCCCGGCTCCTCAACTTCAAATAAAGACTAACTTTGGGAGTTAGGCATGGCGGTGTATGCCTGTAATCTCAGTGCTTGGAAAGTGGAGGCAGGAAGATCAGCCCTGGCTATGTAGTGAGTTCAAGGACAGGCTGGGTACAGGAAACCTTGTCTCAAAAATAAATAAACAAACATACAAATAAATAAATGAATGAGCATTTTGGGACTTTCAGCAATTTTTAGGATCTTTTATTTGCTCTGCACTCCCCTCCTTTTCCCTCTGCCCCTCCTTTCTCCCTCCCTCTCTGCCCCTCCCTCCTTCCTTCCTTCCTCTCCTTCCTCCCTTCCTTTCATGAATAATCTCCCTCCATCCTGATGACTTAAGCAAAATATGTAAATTACTCCTTACAAATTACCTTAACAAAGCCAAATGCTAAAAATGTCTACAGGGCAACAGTAATTTAAAAAAAGAAAAGAGCTAGGGATTGAAGACATGAGCGTAAAGAGCTGGGGTGGGACTCCATGGTAGAATGTCAGCCTAACATCCCTGAAGCCCCAGGTTTGATTTCCAGAAGTGAGTATCGAGGATTAGATACTGGATGTGGTGGCAACACTTCACAAGTTCAAGGCTAGCCTTGGCTAAATATTAAGACCCTGTCTCAAAGATAAAAATAACAGAGGCCGGGCGTGGTGGCGCACGCCTTTAATCCCAGCACTCGGGAGGCAGAGCCAGGTGGATCTCTGTGAGTTCGAGGCCAGCCTGGACTACCAAGTGAGTTCCAGGAAAGGCGCAAAGCTACACAGAGAAACCCTGTCTCGAAAAACCAAAAAAAAAAATAAATAAATAACAGAGTTCAGGCCTGTAGTTCCAGTACTTGGGAGACAGGAGGGATCAGAGAGGTACATGATGAGTTTATGGTCAAGTGAGGCTACATAAACCACTATCTTAAAACAAAATAATAATGGCAAAAATAAAAAATTAAAAGACCTGGATATAAAAATTGTGGCTGTAAATGTTTCTACCCCAATTTAGCACAAAGTATATATGTATAGTTGTACCTCTCGCTTAAAAAATGAAATATTGCCTGAATCAGATTCGTGCCCAGTCCTCTCCCCAGCTTGACAGAGCTGAGTTCGCCATTGTCCCCTGAAAGCTGAGAACTCCACGACCTGCAGGAGGGCAGATTGACAGGGGCTCAGGAGGCTGGTGTGCCAGTCGGTGTTGCCAACTTGATCCAAACCTAGATATAGCTGAGAAGAGGGAGCCTCAACTGAGGAATTACCTCCATCAAACCAGCCTTGCAGACAAATCTTGATTAGTGATTGATGTGGGAAGGCCCAGCTCACTGTGGGTAGTATAACCCCTGGGTAGATAGATGGTCCTGGGACTTATAAGACAGCAAGTTGAGCAAGCTGTGAACAAGCCAATAACCATTATTCTTCCATGGCCTTTGTCCTGACTCCAGGTTCTTGCCTTGAGTTCCTGGACTATGACAAGAAAATGTAGTATTTTTCCTCCCAAAGTTGTTTTGGTCATGTCTTTATCACAGCAACAGAATATACATACACACATGAGGTTCAGCCACCAGAACACTGAGGAAGTCTGGCTACCTGAGATGGTGTTACTCTACCATAATTACGTTCCAGTAACATAACTGCTACATCCCAAGGCCTGAGACCTAGTCGAGGGGATGGAGAAAAAGCTTATTAGCCAGCTCAGAGGTACACGAGGAAAGGCTTTTTGTCTTCCGTGAAAAAACTCCTAACACAAGCAATGTAACCCCAAATGCCTATGGCAACTGGATGGTTGTGTAACACTGGTAGATAGAGACATCTAAGTAGCACTTGGTATGTGCCAGGCTGAACACACATGAACCCAGTTCCTTTTCACACACACAATAGTGAAGTAAACTATTATAAACCCCATTTTTTATGGAAGGAAAGTGAGGTCACTAGAGTTATGTAATTTGGTTATGGTCACGCAGCTAAACTAAGAAGAGGCAGGACATAAAGCCAGGAAGCCCCACACTTGAGTTTGGCTCTGCCCAGTGTCTTCAGTACCCTCGGTGCTTGTAGATAAAGGGGTCAGGAGGATAAGGTCACTGCAACTGGCAAAATTCCATCTAGTCTACCTGAGGCATGAACTGCCAGTCTCCCCATCTGTCAAGAAAAGACAGAAGTACGGACATTCACAGAAAAATCTCCAAATTAAAAAAAAAAAATCTGTTTTATTTTAACCCTCTGCAGTTCAAACAAAGCAGGTCATCAGACTTTTCTGAGCTTGGAGCGTGGTCACAGCTGCCTCCTGTCTGACCAAAGGTCCCTGTGGGATTGTGGGTCTAGAGACCAGAGGGAGTTCCTCAGCGAACAACAGCTCCTTCAGGCCCACTGATATGAATAATTAATTTGTTTTAGCATTGCTGCCCACAAAGATTACCAACAAGCCCAACATTCAGAAAGCAACTCCATGCCCTTCTAAGACAAAGAAGACAGGCGTGGGAGATCCTAGGGGACCTTGGGGAGCCTCATCATGTGAAATCTGGTGGGGCTATCCGTGTTCAAAGGGACCAGTGGATGCTGACCTAGCCCGTGCGTCTGCTCTGGTCTAGTTGCCTCAGTGGGGCCTAAGAGTGTCTGCAAGACTCATTAGAGCTGTGACATGCTGTGGCTTTCACTGATGTCAGTGGGAGTGGGCTCCAGATTCCTCAAGATGCTTTAAAATAAGACAAAAAGGCACAATTATGCAGCCAAGCGAAGCCACGCCAGCTGCATACAAAGCAGGGCCTTCTCCATAATAGGATCACAACCCAACTAGACCTTGTGGAGGCCTCCTGGATGGGCTGCTGCTGAGAGGCATCTGTAATTGGATGCTTCATTGCTCCAGCTCTTAGATGATTCAAAGTGCAAAATTTCCAGAAGCCTCAGGTTTCAATGAAGAATATGACCAGGCAACATGATGAGCATAATCCTATTTTTCACCCTTGCAGTTTATTTCAACAATGCCCATGGCCACACTAGTGATGACAGGGACGAGGTTAACCAGCCTGTAACGAGTGTCTGCTATGTGCCAGCCACTGTCCAAAGTGCTTCGTAAACACATACTGATTTGTACACTCTTCACCCAACTTAATGAGACACTGATTTTTGTATAGTATGGTTCCCATGGCCTACAGATATAGACACTAAGACACAAAAAGGCCAGGAAACTTACTCAAGGACACACAACAATTATGTGACAGAGCTAGGACTTGCATCTAAGTAATACAGCCCCAGATCTTGATTATTACACCAACGACTATTTGCATTTACACAGCTCTGACTGTAATTTACACACTGTGCCACTTGCTCTTTGTACATTATTTCTTTAAATTGTGTGTGTGTGTGTGTGTGTATGTATGTGTGTGGTATTGGGAATCAAATTAGCCCCATCCCTGCTAGGCAAGCCCCTACATCCCCAGGCCTCATTTAATCTTTGCAACACAAAATGAGGTAAAAGTCATCCCTATTGTTCAGAAAAGAAAGTATCTCTATAGAGAGGTGACGTAATCTGGTTAATGGAGCAAATTTACAGAGGCATGGCTGTAAACCTAGTGCATCCGTTATACTAGGAATAACTTATTTTGGCTCACAGTCTCAGAGGGTTGCAGACCATCATAGGAGGGCACTGTGGAGCATCTTAATCCAAGACAATACGGGCTTATACAGCTGTTCACAGAGCAAGGAACTGAGAAGCAGCAGGTGATGGGGAACTAAGAACCCAATCATAATCTTCAACGACCAGCCACTAGTGACCTGCTTCCTTCAGCCCCTAGTGACCCACCTCTTTTTTTGTCTGTTTGTTTTTCGTTTTTTATTTGTTTTTTGTTTTGTTGAGACAGGGTTTCTCTGTGTAGCTTGGCTGTCCTGAAATTCATTCTGTAGACCAGGCTAGCCTCTAATTCACAGAGATCCACCTGGCTCTGCCTCCCGACTGCTGGGATTAAAGGCGTGCGCCACCATCACCCAGCCAGGGCCCACTTCTTAGGCTCCACAGCATCCCCAAATAGTGCCACCAGCTGGGAAACAAAAGTTCAAAACACGAATGTGGTGGGGGACACTTCAGGTCTGCACCGTAACTCAAGTTCCTTGGTCAACCTCACAAGTTTCAGAGTCCCTGATCACTTAACTTACTGGATTTCATAAAATTTGTGATTGGAAAATCATCAAGTCCAGCCACATTGCTTCAGATCTACAGTCTGAAGAAATTAATAGTTAGTGGTGAGGGCTGAAGACACAGCTCAGCTGGTAGAGCATTTGCCTAGCACACATGAAGCTCTGGGTTGGATCCCTAGTAATGCACAAACCAGGCATGGTGTTACATGATGGTAATACCAGGACTCAAGAGATACAAGCAGAAGAACCAGAAGTTCAAGCCACCCTTGGCTATGTAACAAGCTTAAGATCAACTAAGCTCCATGAGGAACTACTATTACCCCCCACACACACACACCAACAAAACAAAACAAAACATAGTTCTGGGCGGCCAGTTGAAGGATGAATAAGTCACCTGACTCCTTTCCAACTGTCAAGACCACTAGCACCACCTCAAAGAACTACAAACCAGAGAGAGTAATAGATGTTTAATAGTTATCATAAGTGATAAACAAAAAAAAATAACAAAAGAAAGTATATGTGTATAATATACACTTTGAATGATAATGTAGTTGAGCAGTCCCTAACTTACAGATTAATAGCTTCATACTTTTGTTTACAAGTCTGTTCTTTATGATTAGAAATAATGATGTAAGGGCCAGGTAGTGGTTGTGCACACCTTTAATTCCAGCGCTAGAGAGGTAGAGCCAGGCAGATCTGTATGAATTCAAGGCCAGCTTGGTCTACAGAGTGAGTTCCAGGATAGCCAAGGATACACAGAGAAACCCTGTCTCAAAAAACAAAACAAACAAACAAAAAGAATGAATGATGTAAGCAATAAGAACACTGCCTAAGATGACTCCAAAAATCTACAGTGGGTATGGTAATGCACACCTTTAATCCCAGCACTTCAGAGGCAGAAGCAGAACTCTGTGAGTTCGAGGCCAGCCAGGGATACACAGCAAGATCCTGTATCAAAAAAAAAAAAAAAAATCTAATTACCAGACAAGGACCCCAACACTTGCATTGCACATCTATAGTTCTACCACTTCCAGATGTGTGGGATTCCCAGGGAAACCATACTTCTCAGAAAGCTGGACAATGGGCACTTGGGCCTTTCACTCTCACTAATAAGCAATATACCAACAGACCCATGTCAAGCCAAACAAAACAGATTTGTATGGTTTTAAATTCTAGGATCCTTTTCACTGCTAGTGATTTAGTGATTTTGTATTTGGAGCCACGGGCTTTGACATAATGGCCAGACTCCTTTAAACAACACCAAAACTTAGATCAGGGCTGGAGAGATGGCTCAGAAGTTAAGAGCACTGGCTGCTCTTCCAGGGGACCCGGATTCAATTCCCAGCACCCACATGGCCGCTCAAAACCATCTCTAGTTCCAGTTCCAACAACCTCTTCTGACCTCCCAGGCACACAGGGATATGGCACACAAACATATATGCAGGCAAAACAACCATATACATAAAAAAATAAAATTTATTGCTGGGTGGTGGTGGCGCATGCCTTTAATCCCAGTACTTGGGAGGTAGAGGCAGGTAGATCTCTGAGTTAAAGGCCAGCCTGGTCTACAGAAGATGTTCCAGGGCAGCCAAGGCTACACACCGAAACTCGATCTCAAAAACAAACAAACTGCTGGGCAGTGGTGGCGCACGTCTTTAATCCCAGCACTTGGGAGGCAGAGGCAGACGGATCTCTGTGAGTTCGAGGCCAGCCTGGGCTACAGAGTGAGTTCCAGGAAAGGCACAAAGCTACACAGAGAAACCCTGTCTTGAAAAAAACAAAACAAAGCAAAGCAAAAAAACCCAACAACTATACACACACACACACACACACACACACACACACACACACACACACACACATATATGAAAATGTTACATTATATACACATGCACACACATACAGCTATCATAATATTTTACTAACGCTTATAATTGTCCCAGTAGATTACTGAACGAAGCCGCAGCAACTCAAAGACGGCACAGCAGCACTGGCCTTGAGTTCCAGCGCTTAGGAAGCTGAGGATGTCTTGAGCCCAGGAGTTTGAGAACATCTTCATAATAAAGTGACAACACAGTGAAACCTTGTTTCAAAAGAGAAGAAAGAGAATGAGAATGGGTTAGGGTGGGGTAGAGAGGCTGAACCAAGTAGAGAAAAACAGTTTAGCCGTTTACTTCTAACAGGATTTTTCACATTTGTGAGGCTCACCTCTTACATATATGTTCAAGCAGACAGGGAGCCCACCCATCACATTACAGGATCCTGTAATCGCAGTGCTTGAGGTCAGGCAAGAGAATCAGGAGTTCAAGGAAACTTCCAGATGCAAATGTATTCTGACCACCAAGTTAACATTCCAGCAGTTTTAATTAAAAGCAGGAACAGGTATATAAATAAATTAGAAACTTGGGGGCTGTAAAGCCTGGGAAGGGTAAAATAAGAAAAATCCACCACAAACCAGGCATGATAGTGCACACCTTTAATCCTAGCATCCAGAAGACAGAGGCAAGTAGATCTCTGTGTGTTCAAGACCAGACTGGACTACATAGCATATTCTAGCCCCAGGCTATACGGTGAGACCATGTCAAAAGAAATAAGGGAGAAATTAAAGGAAAGAAAGGAAGGAGGGAGAGAGGGAGAGGAAGGAGGGAAGGAGGGAGGGAGAGAGGGAGGGAGGGAGGGAGGGAGGGAGGGAGGGAGGGAACAGAAAAATCCACCACAGTTCTTGAGCAGTACAAAAGATGAAGAAGAGAAGATGTACATGAAGAAAAAGGTAACAATAATAAAGAGAGGGAAGCCAGGTGATGTCACATTGCTGTGATCCCAGAGCTTATCTATACAGTTTGGGGTTAGCCTGAGCTGCAGGAGCAGGGGGAAGGAGAAGAAGAAAAAATGGGGGAGAGAAAAATTAAAAGGTCTTTTTTTTTTTTTTTTTTTTTTTTTTTTTTTTTTTTTTGGTTTTTCGAGACAGGGTTTCTCTGTGTAGCTTTGCGCCTTTCCTGGAACTCGCTTTGGAGACCAGGCTGGCCTTGAACTCACAGAAATCCGCCCGGCTCTGCCTCCCAAGTGCTGGGATTAAAGGCGTGCGCCACCACCGCCCGGCTAAAAGGTCTTTTAATTCTTAGAGATCAATAATCTGCTGAGTTATTCCAAATCCCACCAAATCCTCACTTGAAGGGCTGGAGAGATGGTTCAGTGATGAAGAGCACTGGTTGCTCTTCCAGAAGATTGGGGTTCAATTCCCAGCACCCACATGGCAGCTCACAACCATCTGTAACGCCAGTCTCAGGGGATCCAACATCTCCTGATCCTTCCCCAACAGTCACCAACTGGAAACCAAGTTTTCAAATGCCTGAGACCTGTACGAGACAGCTCCTTCCAACCATCACACCATCCATAACACATAAAAATAAAAATAAACAAACAGGGTCTGGGTAGATAGCCCTCTCTTACAGAGGATCAGGGTTCAATTCCCACCACCCAAATGGCGGCTCACAACTATCTGTAACTCCAGGGAATCCAACGACACCTTCCGGCTTCCTTGAGCACCAGGCCCTCACCAGACATACAAGCAGACAAAATACCCATACCCATAAAATAAATTAATTAAAAATAAATCCTCACTTGAAAATACACGACCAGTAGCTCATGCCTGCCATCCCAGCACCAGGAAGGCAGAAGCAGGAGAATCTTGAGTTCAAGTCTAACCTGCCTCAAATATATAGTGAGACCCTGCCTCAAAATATATACACCCACCAAAAAAAATTTTTTTTTCTACTTGTTCAACAAGAAACATTACGTCAGCATTGTCTAAGAGGCAGGAATACCACAATTAAAAGAACTGACCTGTACACGGAGGGTGGGGAGGGTGACAAATCACTTAAAAACAATTTATATAGCTGCCCTGACATACCAGTGTGCAAAGTCCAGGGGAGGATGGTAGAGCCAACCCTGGGCTGTTTTCCAAAAGCCATTCACAGTTCTGTTTCCCCTGATCAGCCTAGGCAGCTAAAGATGGCCATGTGACCCAGCTTGGCCCAAGAGTGTGACAACAGGAGTCGTTAGGTAAGACTTCCATGAGTGCTATCGCCATTTTTTTAAAATTTAGTTTTGAGACGGGGTCTTCCTCTGTAGCCCAGGCAGGCCTAGAACTCATGGAGACCAATCCAGACTGCTAGGATTATGGCCACAAACCACCATACTTGGCTCCATTCTTAGAGGGACAACCAGCTAGAACAATCAGTCTGAGTCCTTTGCTCCCTTTTCCTCCCCAGATCCCAAGCACACACAAGGTAATACAGCAGATACACATTTCAAACTCTATGTCACAAGCAAGAGGACAAACTTCTCACTGTAAGACACTGGGAGGCTCTGAAACAAAAGGCCCCGTTGAACCCCTGTTACCCACCAAGAAGTCCTTGCAATGGGAGGAAAACGAACCCCTAGCCTATCAAGCCACTGTAGTGAACCCAGGGGCTGCTGTTAACAAATCGCAGCACACAGTGGCTTAAAATAACACCAACTTAGCCGGGCGGTGGTGGCACACTTCATTAATCCCAGCACTTGGGAGGCAGAGGCAGGTGGATCTCTGTGAGTTGGAGGCCAGCCTGGTCTACAGAGTGAGTCCCAGGACAACCAGGGCTGTTTCACAGAGAAACAGTGTCTCAAAAAACAACAACAAAAAAAAAACCAAACAAACAAAAAATAGCACCAACTTATTGTCTTAGAGTTTTGCACCTTGGAAACCTGAGGAGATTCTTACTCTGTAGCCCGGGCTAGCCTAGGATTTACTGGCTAACATCGAGGTGCCGGCAGGACAGTTTCCTTTCTGGAGACTGGAGGAATCATTTTCTTGCATTCTGTGGCTTCTAGAGGCCACTTAGATTTCTTGGCTAGTCACCTATTTATTCTGTGGCTTCTAGAGGCCACTTAGATTTCTTGGCTAGTCACCTATTTCTTCATATTCAAAATCATCAGCAAGGAGTTATATCACCCTGACCTCTTCAGCCCACCTCTCCCAAGTTCAGTTTAAGATCTTTGTGACTGGGGTTGGAGAGATGGCTCAGTGGCCTCTCTTACAGAGGACCTGGCTTCAGTTCCCAGCACCCCTATGATGGCTCTGAACCTACTGTAACTCCAAGGGATCCATCACCTTATTTCAGCTTCCACAAACACTACACATCTGTAATGTGTATGTACATACAGGCAAAGCACTCATACACATAAAACAGAGATCCCGGCCGGGCGGTGGTGGCGCATGCCTTTAATCCCAGCACTTGGGAGGCAGAGCCAGGCGGATCTCTGTGAGTTCGAGGCCAGCCTGGGCTACCAAGTGAGTTCCAGGAAAGGCGCAAAGCTACACAGAGAAACCCTGTCTCAAAAAACCAAAAAAAAAAAAAAACCCAAAAAAACAAAAAACAAAACCAGAGATCCTTGTGAGTATACTGGACCCACCCAGATCCTCCAGGATAACACACACACACACACACACACACACACACACACACACACACACACACCAAAGTCCCTAGTTTACTCTCATATGCAAAGCCTCTTTGTTATATACAAGGGTCCAGGAATCAGCATGTGGGCCTCTCTGGGGACCACAATTTTGCCTGTCATGACCATTGTGGAAGTGTGGGGCAATATAGTTATATAAGCACTGTAGAAGGAAGCTTTCAGTTACTTGAAGCCAAGTGCATTTTATTTTATGTGTATGGGTGCATGCATGTCTTCTATGCACCAGATGCATGCCTGGTACCTGTGAAGGCCAGAAGAGGACACTGGATCCCTTGGAAGTGGAGTTACAGACAACTGTAAGCCACCATGCAAGTGCTGGGACTTGAACCCGGGACCTTTGCAAGAGCAGCCGGTGCTCTTACCTGCTGAACCATCTCTCCAGCCCCTCAAATACACTCTTAAGTGACAGCCAAGTCCTGGTTCTACATAGGGGAGACAAAGAAGACTTCACAGAGCAGGGAGACTCTCAGCTTAGGCTTGAAGGATGGATGGAAATCTGTCCTAAAGACATGGAAGAGGAGCATTCAAGACAAAGGCAGAGAGAGAAGGGTGTGTTCAGTGTTGGGAAGTTCAGTGCTGCTGGGCATACAGTGTGTATGTATGGAAGGAAAGAGGTTTCCCAGAGAGCCTCGTAAAAAGCCTCAGATCTTACTCTGTGTGTATGGAGAGCCACTGCGCATTGGGAATAAAGGTACAAATTTTGACTTGGGAGCATACAGCAACCATTTATCTTTAACGTGAATGTAACTTGAGGCTGGAGAGGAGAGAGTAGAGGCAAACCAAATGGCCCTCGAGGTGGTCTGGGTTTGGATGACAGACCTCTAGCTCCTCATAAACATTTATTGAGCACCTCCCATGTGGCCAGGCACTGTGTTATCCTGAAGCTACAAAACCTGAAGCATAGGTCAGAACAAGGTCCCCTGTCGGCCTGACAACCACAACCCAAGGCATAAATGATGTTCAAGGGAGAAGCCTCCTGTTTGGGACACTGCAACACCTACCCCCAAACCTGAAACACAGACAGGCAGGGAAGGGACCCAGAAGAATTAAGGCAGTCTCACCCAGAAGAAAGGGGCCCCAGGGTCTGAAATAATGGGTGACTGACAAGGCCAAGAGCCTCCCCTTTACAAATATTTATTTTCATTTTTAATTATGTGTATTGGGGGGGGGATGTGCACATGTGAGTTTAGGTACCCACAGAGACCAGAAGAGCACTTCAGATCCCCTGGAAATGGGGTTACAAGTGGTTGTGAGCCACCTAACATGGGTGCTAGGAATCAAACTCGTGTCCTCGGCAAAAACAGTAGACATTCTTAAGCTCTTAACCGCTGACCCGCCCCACCCAACAGCCCTTCTGTGTATACATCACTCAAAAGAGAGCAAAAAGTCTGGAAGCTTCCCCACATATCAGGGGTTTTTATTATTTTTTTTCTTGAGACAGAATCTCTTGTAGCCCAGCATGGCCTCAAATACACTATATAGCCAAGGACGACCTTGAAAGTCCGGTCCTCCAGACTCTACCTCCTCAGTGCTGGGATCACAGGCCATGCATCATGACACTCCATTTAACACTTATCAGGCATTGGGAATCAAACCCAGAGTCTTGTGAATGTTTTATGCACGCTACCACCTGAACACCATTCCCAGCCTCAGACCAGCCTCACCTGTTTTAAATCACTGCACACGCCAAATGAAGAAATGGAATGACAGGGTTTGAGGTTTGAGCCTGTGCTCAAAATGTTCCCAAGTCCTCCACAGGACAAAAAAAAAGTCTGAAATTAGAGGATAGTGGTAATTTCATAACTTTGTGAATGTTCTAAAATCCATCACTGAATGCAATAGAGGCCAATTTAATAATATATGAATTCTCAATAAAAAAAAAAAAGGAATCCAGCACTGAAAAATCTTGGGCTGGCTAGTTAACCCACTGGAGACAGTTTCCTCATCTGTAAAATGAGAAGAGTAGTGTGTCCTTCTCTTTTTCTGTTTCCTGCCGTCCTGGGAATTGAACCTAGGCCCTCTTGCATGCTGGGCAAGTACTCTGCCACTGAGCTATAACTTCAGCCTTCTTTTCCTTTTGAGATAGAATTTCATTAAATTATTCAGGCTGAAGCCGGGCAATGGTGGTGCACGCCTTTAATCCCAGCACTTGGGAGGCAGAGCCAGGTGGATCTCTGTGAGTTTGAGATCAGCCTGGTCTACAGAGCGAGATCCAGGACAGGCTCCAGAGCTACACAGAGAAACCCTGTCTCAAAAAAGAAAAAAAAAAAATCAGGCTGACCTTGAGCTTCTGACCCTCCCACCTCAGTTTCCTGAGTCGCTAGGGTTTCAGGCCTGTGCAGTAGAGTGCCCCCTTAGATTGCTCTGAATACTAACCATGACAGGAGGAAAGCCAAGACAGTAGGTGCTAAGTCTATTTCAGTTCCTTCTCTCCTAGGTGCCAACAAACCTTTAAAGCTATCTTTTGCTCAGCAATCACAAGACGAGCTTCGAGCTCCAGGCAACTTCCTCCAGACAGTCTAGTCGCAGGCAGATGAAAGCAGGAATCAAACAGGGAGACAGGATGGGGAACGAACGAACGAAGCAGACTCTCACGGAGGAGACACTGCAGGTTTTCTCTGCAGCTACGTGGTGCAGAGATGACAAGGGAGGGTCACGTGGCAGAAACAGCTCCAGGAAAAGCAGTGGGGAGGGAAGCAGGTGGGCACAGAGCCTTCTACTCAGAACTCGTGTTTAGTATGCAAACAGAGTGCAGAGTCCAAAACAGACAACTGGGCTGCAGCGCAGCTCTGATGTTTGGAGACGGTTCACGGTCCACCCTCAAAACCAGAAGGGACCCAAATCACGACACTTTTCTAGCATAGAAATAAGTCGGGGAAGTTTTTATTGTTTTGTTTTGTGTTTTTACCCTGGGCTTCTCACTTGTGACGGCTATAAAATCAACCAGGTGCTTTTCTGGTGCCTGCCATACGCTCAGCCTTGGGAAAGATACTGCTGAGAGAAACGGACCCTGGTCCCTGCCCTCAAGGAGCCAGCCAACCCCTTGGCTTGAGAGCGATGCTTCAGAATATCACAGGCACCATGCCTTGCAGAGAGAAGAGGTTCTGTTGTCATTTGTCCATGGGGTCAATGAATTAACAGATGGCATAATAATAAAAACAATTGTGCAGTGTGGGCTCACTCTAAGAACCACAGGCGGGATGGAGTAGTTGGAAAGGCTTGTGCCAGAGGCTGCTAGCTGCCACTCACTACCTATTCTTCCATTTTTCCTGGTAACAGAGACCCCATTTGATTTGAGAGGGCCGTATGCCCATATAAAGTACTCCATTTCCCAGCCTCCCTGGGAGCTAGAGGTGACTGATATGATTTAAAACAGAAACTGTCTAGAGAGGGTTCTAGGAAAGTGCCTCAAACAGTAGACCCAACAACTGCCACTCACTCTTTTTCCTGCTCTGAAAATTCTTGCCGGAAGCACAAACATGATGGGTGGATCTCCAGGAGCCATTCTGAACCATGATACCAAAAGATCAAAAAAGCCTGACTCCCTGATGATTACGCAGTCATACCATCTCTACATGGCTTACTTATGGAGTTCTTCACATGAACTCTCATCTTGCTGAAGTACCAATTTAAGATTTTATCCTATTTAGCGAACTTGTAGCTTAATCAATACAGGTTCTATGGAAGAGGCAGGCCTCAAAGGATTGATTTGGGGAATAGTGGGCATGCATCTCAAACACCAGAAAGAACACATAAATAAGCAGCAGCAGCAAGAATGTTAGCTGCAGCAGACAGAAGAGAGCAGGAGCCACAGACATCCCAGGGGGTGGCTTTGCAGATGTTTGGGAATAGAGAGGGACCAGAGACCACAACCAACCAAGAAAGCTGGTCTCCTCTGAAAGAACAACACAATTATAGACAGAGTAAAAACAAACAAACGCAGAGTGAGAGCTTCTTTATGTGAAGAGATGCAAATATGGGGTGTAGCTCAGGGACAGAGTGTTTGCCCAGTATGCACCTGGCCCTGGCTTCCATGCCCAACATGGAAGGAAGAAAAGGAGGGAGGGAGGGAGGGAGGCAGGGAGGGAAGGAAGGACAGACAAAGGGTTGGAGAGAGAGAGAGAGAGAGAGAGAGAGAGAGAGAGAGAGAGAGAGAGAGAGAAGAAAAGATGTAACTACAAGCCCAGCTCAGCCAGCTGAAAACTTCTGGACTTTACAGTTACTGTAACCATCTCAGAGCTGCTAAACACCATGTGTCCAGTGCTGAGCTGTGTGATGTCCACACATCATCTCATTAAGGCATCATAACAAGTCTAGGCTATACTCCTATTATTGCCATCTCCATCTCATAGACAAAGAACCTGACGCTTTGAGAAAGTCAGAGTCATCCCAGGGAAGTATCACAACCCGGAAGCCCTGTCTGCTGCTGTCCAGACACATCCTCTTTTTTCCAGACAAGGGAAGTGGAGTTTGTTTGTTTTGTTGTTGTGAAGATATTAAGGTGTGTGTGTGTGTGTGTGTGTGTGTGTGTGTGTGTGTGTGTGTGTGTGTGTTCCATCTCTCCAGTCTTTTTTTTTTTTTTTTTCGTTTTTCGAGACAGGGTTTCTCTGTGTAGCTTTGTGCCTTTCCTGGGACTCGCTTGGTAGCCCAGGCTGGCCTCGAACTCACAGAGATCCACCTGGCTCTGCCTCCCGAGTGCTGGGATTAAAGGCGTGCGCCACCACCGCCCGGCCCATCTCTCCAGTCTTAAGAGAAAGTGTTACACCATTATTTAAAAGAAAGGAAAGTGGGGTCTGAAGAGAGGGCTCGGCAGTTAAGAGCACTTACTGTTCTTACACAGGACCTGGGGTCAGTTCCCAACTTCCATATGATGGTTCACAACAGTCCTTAACTACAGTTCCAGGGAATCCTATGCCCTTTTCTGGTTCCATGAGCACCAAGTATGCACACACACACACATCTCTCTCTCTCTCTCTCTCTCTCTCTCTCTCTCTCTCTCTCTCTCTCTCTCTCTCTCACACACACACACACACACACACACACACACACACACACACACACACACCAATCCTGATGTATGACAGAAGGATCTAGAGGCAAATACAAAACACTATTCACCAGAAGAAAATCAGACCAGAGGAATCACAGTTTCAAGGCTGGTTGCACTTCCTACTTGTATAGAAGGGCATGCTAATAGGACCCACATATTAATGATGAGGGTAAGATGGTGGAGGTGAGTAGTGGAGGGAGGCAAGCCCTGGAGAGCCAGTGACTCAACTTTGTCAACTTTGGTCACCAATGAACCATGACAAACCACCAATGCGTGTGTCTTAGGCAGCTTTGTTTTGGAGGTAAGGTTCATGACACAGCACAGGCTGGCCTGGAGCTCCTGATCCTCCCACTGAGCCTCACAAACGCTAGGATTACAGGCATGTACCACCACACTTGGCATGAAATGGTTTTTTAATATCTCACTACAACAGGAACTATAACAGAATTATTTTATTATAGCTACTGCTAAAAATTCAATTTGAATTAAGTTATTCAGACACATCACTGAATGCAAGGAATTCTTCCCAGAGCAACAATCTTATTAGTCATTGCCGGAAAGTGGGGGGCGGGGGGGGGGGGGGCGAGACAGACACTGTCAGATTACTAATGAGTGAGGTAACATGAGAATTTCAGCAGGAAATGCATTTTCCATGAAGATTCAAAATAAAAGGTCTCCAGCAGAAGCCAGCAGACCCCGACGGCCAGGCCTCCAGGTATAGAAACCAGACCCTGAGTCGGGTAGCTGTGGTGCACACACCTTTAATCCCAGCACTCAGGAACCAGAGGCAGATGGATCTCTGAGTTTGAGGCCAGCCTGGTCTACAGAGCGAGTTCCAGGACAGCCAGGGCTACAGAGAAACCCTGTCTTGAAAAACAAAGAAAAGAGCAAGAAAAAGAAAGAAGAAACCAGGCCCCGAACAGCTGGCCCAGCATAGCATTGCAGGTAGAATGCCATGGACCACCTTTGTGGACAGACCCGTGTCCCAGTGCCAGCTCCACAAGCTCTCTACACAGCTCTGGCTGGCTCCTTCAGAGCCTCGGCTGGCCACCTATAAGGTGGGCATCACCATTGCCATCTGCAGAGGTGGGTGGTGCTGAGGCTGAGATGGCTCTTCTCTCACCTGGCCTCTCAGAGACTACAGCTTTAGGGTCCTCTGATTAGATTCCTGGAAAAGGCCATGGACACAATAGGACAGTCCAGATCTGACTGCAACCCTCCTCAGGGTCCTGAGCGTGACCTTGAGGTTGCTTTTAGGGTCCAGGGTTCTCACCTGTCTGAGACAGACAGGAACACAGGTCAACTCAGGATTTTCCTCTGGTCTTCTGGTCTAGGCTCCTTTTAAATGTATTTTACTTCATTTGTTATTATCGGGTTCCAGGATCAAATGCAGATCTCCAGGCTTCCACAGTCAGGTGCAAGCACCTTACCCACTAAGCGCTCTCTCTCCAGCTCACATTTCTTCTTTAGAATGTTTTTTCTTTTTATGAAACACGCTGAGCCTGGTGGCCCCAAACTCACGCCCCTCCTGCTTTTAGCCCCTCAAGTGTTGGGATGACAGGCATGTGCCTCCATGTCTTGTTCCTTACTCAGGATTTAACAGTAGTCACCCATTAGAAAGTTGTTTCTTTATCCAAAAATCAAGGCTTCTACCCAGCAAAGAGACAGCAAAAACGATGAGGGCGGGCCGCCAACCTGAGCAGTTTTAGTCCTGAACACAGCTTGCAGGAAGCATGACCTTGATAAACGCTTGCTGAGTAGGACAGACGGATGGGTGGATGGATGGACAGCCAAGGGCCAACAAAAATAGAGAAATAGAGGGTATTTGGGGCTGGACTATAGCTGTGGTAGAGGGCTTATTTAGTATGTACACGACCCTGGGTTCAATCTCCCATCTCAGAAGCAAAGGAAGGGTGTGTGGAGAGAACTTGTCTCCACTGAGCAAAATTTAACGCAAGAAGGAAATGGCACCCATTTACAATATTAATGATACTTACTTTGATATTTGAACTGAAGCCAGAATATCAGATAAATAGTCTCTCTAACAGTCAAAAGAATGCTGGATATGGAAGAGGCACCTCTGAGCTTTGTTAGAAGGGCAGCATTTGGATCCACAAGGAGGGCAGACACACAGAGGAAACCACAGACCGCAGAAGGGACTCATGATCCCTGGGGACAGAGCTGTTGGCTCTGGGGCAGGGGTGGTGCAGAAGCATGCTAGCACAAGAGGGAAACCCCAGCCTCCATTTGAGGATATTCAGCTGTGTGTGCCCAGGACTGGCTGGCCACTGAGGGGAAGTCTAAAATCTAGCATGTGACCTGCTACCTTACGAGGCTCGGTTCATAGGAGCCCCATAGGTAGGTGCCAGCCCCGAGAAGTGACCCAGCTTCTGATGATCTGGAGTCTGGTAGGGACTTCAGTGATAATGAAGGCTATAATAACACACATAGACATATACTGATATCATGGTCATTAAGTCAAGTGTGCTATTAACCCATTTAAAAGGTTCCTACTTTCCTGAAGTCAATCTTCACAGCTATCCTGGGAGGTACTAAAATTTGTAGCAAGAAGCTTAGCATTTGTTTGAAAGCGGGGACTTGGGAAACAGACTGCCTGGGTTCAAATCCTATGCACTCCTTTTGTAAGCTGAGTGATTGGTGGAAGATCATTTAAGCTTTCTAAGCCTCAAGACTCTAATATATAAAGTGGAAACAACGGTAGTTTCTGTGTCATGAGGCTGTTTGTCATAAATTAATTACTAGGCATAAAATGCTCAGAACAGGGGCCGGCAAAAGTAAGCCATGAATACTATGCTTCTCATTGCTGCCAGTGAAACACAGGCCGAGACTGCAAAGGCCAGTGACTTGCCCAGGGCCTCACATCTATTAAGAGAGGAGCTAGGCAGACTCAGGTCTAACGTCACAGTACATATGACCCAACACATCAGATTCTGCTCTGCCCTCCCCCTCCATTAGTGCCTCTGCCCTATGCCAAACCCCCAATAACTAACCATGTTATCATGGCCCAGACTTTTCTCAAACTAGTCAAGGCAATAAAGATGATCAAGGAAAGATGCCTAAAGTGAACTGGCATGTCTATTAATTAAACTCTGATTTTACTCTCACATGTGAGGAGAAACCTAAAAGGTATACACAGGTTTATGGATCTGCTCTTTACTTAGTAGAAAATGTCCCTTTTCCATGGAGGGGTGCCCCTTAGTTTTTTTTGTTGTTGTTGCTGTTGTTTGTTTGTTTTTTTAAGATTTATTTATTATGTATACAGTGTTCTGCCTGCATGTATGCCTTTATGCCAGAATAGGACACCAGATCTCATTACAGATGGTGTGAGCCACCATGTGGTTGCTGGGAATTGAACTCAGGACCTCTGGAAGGGCAGCCAGTGCTCTTAACCTCTGAGCCACCTCTCTAGCCCCGCCCCTTAGTTGTTTTTATATGCTACCTCAGGTGTTTCCTTAAAACCCTGTGGCTAAGGCAAAGCCTGCTATATTATCCAATAAAATCTGACCTACAGTTAAGTCCTCTGGATACAGACACGGGTGTGGCTACTGGTAGAGAGGGAGAAATAGCACCAAGGGCCAACCCAAAGAGGCTCAGAAGCCAAGGTTAATGCCCTGCCCTGTTGCCTGGAAGCTTCTAGAAAGGGCCACAGTTGTGCTAGGAAAACAAAGATGTCCTGTAGCGACCAAGCCATCTGTGATCTAGAATATTCTGGAAGTAGAAAGTTTTGTAGAGTCAAACTGAAGAGCACAGCTTGTAGCAGTAATCAGTTCATATACTCACATGCTCATCACATTCCCAGACCTGTTCAAAGCTCTTTAGAGACGGTAGCCCACTGACTCCTCAGAGCAACAGCGTGAGGAGGGCCCGTTTTACTGATGGAGAAAATAAGCCACAGAAAAGTCAGATAACTTCTCCCTCCATCACACAAGCACCGTGACTCAGAGACCATGACTTTTTCATTTT